GGCGTGGAGGGGGCTGGCAGGCGGGGCGCAGGCTTGCTTGCGGGGGGCTGGCAGGGTGTGAGTGTCCTCTTGCAGGCAGGACAGCCTGGGTGCCGATCATGGACAGGAAACAAGTCCCCCTGTCCAGCAGTGTGAGCCTGCCGGTGGGCCTGTGCTGGCAGTATGGGCTGCCAGGCCCGTCTGGAGTGTGGGGTAGGTAGCAGGGTCTCATCCCGCGGTTTCTCGACTGGGGCGGGGAGAGACGTCAAGTACCTCTGCCTGCAGCAGGAAACCGGAGCACTCGGAGATAATCCGCCCCACCATGCAGACGCCTCTCAGGCCCAGGAGTCAGTGCTGTCCTGTCGTTGAGACCTTGAGACAGCAGCCCTAGTGGCAAACAGAGTGCAGATATAAGCGGTATACAGTACAGCACTCCCTCGGTTTAACGGACTGACAGGGGAAAGGGTGTCCAGTATTGGCCAATGCTTAAGTCAAGTCACACTGAAGTTTTATCAGCTCAGAATATATATGTGTGAGAATATGTATTTACTATATACAGGTATGTGCTTTCTGCATGCTCAAACTCTTTGTCAGAGACATTTTTTGTGCCTTTTTATCATTAGCTCTTTTTCACGTGTTTTAAATATTCTGCATAAAATTCCCTGAAACCTACAAAACACAAACAGCACCCATCGTTAGCAACTGACCTATCCCTATAGGGCACCTCAGATATTCCTCAATTTTGAACCTATATAGTATCAATACCTTTTTTTATTATTTGCAGAGCTCTTTTGCATATTGTTGGGAGTTTTAGTGTATTTTTAAAAGTGATTTTTTTAAAACGTTTTTTTTTTTCAATTCGTTAAAGCACACGAAATACAATTAACACCGACTTATCACAACACCCATCTGGCCACCTTTATTGCGGGGAAAGTCAGGATATTTCACAGACAGACGGGAATTTTACAGGCAAAATGTCCCCGGACCAGACTTCGTCCGGTCAGCCGGGGGTTCAGTTGTAAATCCAAACGCGCTCTTGTGGCAGTATAGTGTCACACCATTAAAGGGAAATCAAATTCATCATATTTTCATTATTTAGACAACTCCGTGTCAGTCCCTTCCCTCCAGTTTTTAAACGGCGGAGGAGGGTGCAGTCTCCCAGCTTTGACGCCTGCAGCCGAGCTGCCGGGCTTGGGGACGGGGACGGGGCCGTGCGGGACGGGCTGCGCTGCTCACCGGCGCGTCGCTGTGTTGCAGGCGCCTCCCGCTGGAAGGAGCTGGAGCTGTCCCTGCGGGCCAGGCTGGGCGGCGCGCCGGAGCTGCGAGAGCTGCTGGCGAAGGTCCGTCTCCTGCTCGGCCGAGAGCAGGTACCCCGCATCGCCATGAACGAGCCCGGCGGGCCGGGGGGACTTGTGCAACAGCCCCATCTTGTGGGTCTGGTCGGGACTGCATGTCCAACCACCGGTGTCGGGATAACGGGCGACAAGAACGATGAGAATATCGTCGATGTCCAGCTTTAAACTGAATATATATATATTATTTAAATTACGTGATTTCTGAATTATTATTTGAAAACAAGGCCCGTGGGGCACATTCTGTGGCGCCCGTGTGCGGAGCTGTGTCTGAGCCGGATGATCCAGGTCACAGGTGTCGCAGGGGCGTGGGGTGCGGCTGTTGTGGAGCAGTATTCTTGATCTGATTAACCAATGCAACAAACGGGCTTAGAGCTCATTCAGTTTTGGAGATTGAAAAGCAAAAAAAAAGCCCAACACCTAAAACACCTAAAAAAAAAACACCTTCAAATATCTTAGCCCTGCGTTTGATAAAAAAATAGAGTATCAATCTTAATTTACTTGGTAACGTATTCATTCTTCTGTCTAATGGAAAATTAACCTCTTAGCTCGCTTCGTTAGTCTGCAGCGGGGAAAATGGTATTTTAAACCGCCTGGCGGAGCGCTTCTCGGCTGTAGGTCTGCTGTGTTGCCGCTGGGGGGCGGTGCTGGACTCTTACTGCAGGTGGAAGCTCTCTGCGGGACACAGAGGCTCGGGTCCGAGTGTGAGGAGCTGGGTCTGTCCGAGGGCTGAAACCCCCCAGAGGAGCCTGCAGTCATGGCGACAGCTAGTGGGACGCCTTCCGCATTTACGAGGGAAAAAGATTACTTATAAGAGCAAAAGAGGAGGCCCATGAATCTTGTTAGGTAGTTAGTACTTAATTGAACCGAAACTTGCATCCAGCTGTTTTTTTTTTAAGAGGAAGAGGCCAGCGTATTGGCTTGAACGACATGGCTAGGCAGCCTGTTCCACACACCCACTACCATTTGTGTAAAGACGTGCCTCCTGTCCTGATTGGAGGACGTTGTTTTTTAAGAAGCCAGGCCATCGTCTTCACCAGTGTGGCTTAGAGACTCGTCCAGGAGAGAAGTCTTCTTCAGTTCCTCCACAGGGGGAGCTAGCTCTCCCCCACAGGTCATGAATAGCAAACTGCGGGCCTGACTCGTTTCTCTCTCTGCCCAGCAGTGCTCCAGAGAGCTCCGTGCTCTCAGGCCCACCAGGCACCCCAGAAGCCCCCTGGCTGCCCTGTTCCACAGCCCCCTGCTCTCGGATGTTGTCTTCAAGGTTGAAGGTAACTTTTCCTCCCAGAGAAATAGCACTCAGTCAAACAGCTCACGTACAAGACACCTATAAGTCAGAGAGCTCGTCAGCCGGTAGCACAGGAGGGAGAAAACAGTGATCTTCTGTTGGAGAACCATTCCTGTTTTACAATAAAAGCAGGTCTGGCTGTCATCTACTCTCAGGGGGTATTCACTGCTCTTGTGGCAGAGATGGCTTTGCACAGGCATGCAGTTGAAAGAGTGTGCCCAGTCTCTGCTCTTGTACCAGTATGATCTCTGACCAGCAGCAATTAGATCCTGGCAAAAGTGAGCAAAGGCATACCTGGTCAGCAATGTGTTGTCCAGTAGTTGCAAGCCGGGAATGAATTGTGAATCCCAGCAGCTGCCCATTTCTCTGTTGGCAAGGAAACGTGTTTAAATTGCTCCCTGGCTATCGAACAGCTGCAGGTTTTCGGGAACAGAGATCTAAGCGAATCGGATTTTGCAGGGGCTGCAGTCCCAGCCCACAGGGCGGTGCTGGCTGCCCGCTGCGAGGTCATGGCTGCCATGTTCAGTGGGAGCTACGTGGAGGCCAGCAGCCGAGTGGTACCTGTCTACGGCGTGTCCAAAGACTGCTTTGTGTCCTTCCTGGAGTACCTCTACACCGACTCCTGCTGCCCTGGTGCGTACACTACACACAGCGGGGAGGGGTAGAGGGCTGGGTCCCTGGCAGCTCGCGTCTGGAAAATAACAGCTGCTGCCTTCACAGAGATTCCCCATAAGTGCTGTTTAGGGTTTAGGTGGCGCTGTTCTCTGGTCCAGAATTGCCAGTATGGCCACCAGGGAGATATATGGTAGGAGGTGCCACCCTCAGTACTTTTAGTCTGACCTCCCTCTAGTTCCCTTCTAATTCCACCATTGGAGAAGTTCCCACCTCCAATCTCTGAGCAGGAGTGTCACGCAGGTGGGGATCCCTTTGTGAAGAACACTGTATAGGTGCAAGGTGTTCCCATCAGATCTTCCTCCTGAGATCCCGTGTCCATCTCCTCCTGCTCTCTTCCTGCTAGCCAGCGTCCTCCAGGCCATGGCCCTGCTGGTCTGCGCCGAGATGTACCAGGTGCCCCGGCTGCAGCACCTGTGCGAGGTCTGCATCTGCACACGCCTCCAGAGCATGTCCAGCAGAGAGCTGGCGTCCAGCAGCCTCGGCGTGGTGGAGCTGCTCGGGCGGGCGCAGGTGAGAGGCAGGACAAGACGGGGGACTCGTCGCGAATCGGGAATAAGACCGCAACAAGAACACTGCGGCAGGTGGAGAAAAACGGCACTGCACCGGCGTGTTCTGAGCACACATAGTGTGTCAGCGCTCTTTTACTCTGTCATGTAACAAGAAACTTCACAGCAAGACTCTGCTGCTCTGCTCACTCATGCTCACATCTGCTTTTCCTGTGTGTTCCTGCCCTCCCCAGTTTCACCACGCACCACAGCTGTCCACATGGCTCCTGCACTTCATCGCCAGTAACTACCTGATCTTCAGCCAGAAGCCGGACTTCTCCAACCTCACCAGTAAGAGGCGCTGTTGAGTCCCAGGAAGTGGTGTAACGGGTCAGCCGGGTGCAGAATGGGACTTTGGAAAGTCGCGGTTTTAGATTATTCTGTCCAAAAATTATAGCATATAATGCAAAGTATCTAAGGTTGTCTAAGTGTTATTAAACATTCCTTAAAAACTGAAACCAGCTTTAATAACATAGAAGTTGAATCCTAATGGCTTAAAGGATGGAGGAGTAGGAGTAGACGGAGTCTCTTGCTGATGTGAACGTGTTGCTGTGGACTGTAAGACACCACCCTTCATTTGAAGGATTTCATCACTTCTGTTTTCCGAACGAGATCACATGTGAACAAGAGCGCAGGGGATTGCTGGTGTGTAGCGCCTGTTTTCGAGTCTCGAGCTCACGGTTCTCTTTCAGGGGACGAGCGGGACTTCGTTGAGAAGCACAGGTGGCCGTCCAGCGCGTACCTGCAGGAGCTGGCCGAGTTCAGACGCCACGTTCACCGGCGGCACTCGCGCTGCGCCGTCATGTGACCAGACTGGAGGAGACAGACACGTCCACAAGGCAAGAGCCTTCTGTGATCTGATGGGTCTGCGCTGTTGACAGAGGGGACAGAAACACTGTACTGCAGGACATGCTCTCACTGAACTGCTGACGTGTGAGAGCTTATTCCCTGAAAGTCATGAAGGGGGCATTACCTGTTTTTTTTTTATTTCATACTAACTTATCATCACAAATGACTCCCTATAGTCTGTGTTACAGACTGCACATCAGTGAAAATACAAGACGCCACAGGAATAAAGTCACGTTTGAACTCTCACGACAAAATGCCAGGGCCAGAGTTTCACTGACCGGGCCAGCTGAATGCCCTCTGCTCGTTTTGCAACTTTTGCTCCTGCCTATGAAGTTGACCCCATGAAACAACAAGGAGCCGTTCTGCTCTGATTAAAGGCGCTTCATTGAATTTCTAATATCAGATATGCTGGATGTATGACAGCCACACAAAAGGCACCAGTAACAATAAATAGCTTTAGCCAGTGAGAATGCACCGCTCCACTAATTCCTAGAGCAGTTCAGTTCAGGTGGACATTGACCTGGGAAGTGATGGCTCAGCTCTCTGCAGGGTCACGCAGATTAGACACAGGCCACATGGCCGTGCTGTAAGTATGACAGAGCCACGTTTCTCAGGTCTGTACGGACTGGACGCGGGTAGTTTGTGCGGACTATTCGCCGGTGGTGTGTGCGGACTGGACGCCGGTGGTGTGTGCGGACTATTCGCCGGTGGTGTGTGCGGACTGGACGCTGGTCATGGACATTATCGGACAACTGTATTACTGGACATTTAGGAAAAAGCTGAAATAAACCAGGTATTTGATGTATTTTGACTTTTCTACAAGCTATGGAAATAGAAGGCTGTGTTTTATGCAATAACCTTAAAAAACTTAAATATCTCCTTATAAACATAATAGTAGCTTTTGCTTCAGGTCACTAAATATTTTAATTTTATCTTCAATTAAGCAAGAGGTCTTACCGCAAAATAATAAACAGGGCCCTTAACTTAAGGACATCGGAGGTCAAATGATTTCATGTTTTCTGTATATAGAACACTTTAAGCAAGTGTCTGTTTCACCAGGGTTGCATGCTCACTGCAAACAAGTAATGATCATGTACACAAATAAAGACAGAGTTATTCCAAGACCTTATTCCATTCCTTCTCTTCCTGTCTCACTTCCAGTGAATTAATGCGTCTTGACCCTTCATGCTCTCCTCACAGGGTCCAGAATTCGTCAGCCAGATTCCTGACCAGGTCTAGTGCAAGTGATCACTTTACTCCTGTCCTGGAGTCCTTGCACTGGCTTCCTGTCAGGTTTCGTGTTGACAAAGTCGAGAGCCTTATAAATGAGTCCTCCTGCTCATTTTTAAGGCTCTGCTTGGCTAGAAACCTTAGTTGTCTGAGGTGCTGTAGTCCTACCTCCCACCTCACAGCCTGCGCTCTTCGGATTCCGATTTCCTCTGTCTAGTGGTGACAGCCCCTTATCCTGCTGAACCGCAAAGCTCTGGAGTTCTGTCCCCAACAATATCAGAGGATATCTCCTACCCTAAGCACCTTCAAATCCAGACACAAACCCCTTTCCTTCAGAAAGGCTGTTATTTATCTTATCTCTGGCTGCTCCCTGCATCTCCCATTGCATTGCTAATCCCTCGTGTTTATTGTGCTCATCTCCTTGTTAACTATTTTTTTCCTCTAAAGTGCTTTGAGAAGCTACTTTTAAAGGCACTGTAGAAAATAAAGATGATTATTATTAGCTGTTCAACGAGAAGTCCGATCCCGGTATTGAAAGGTTGCTGTGTCTGCTAGGTCCTAGGTGCTAGGTCTCACGCATCCCCTCCAGCTCCTGCACGTCCGAGCCGCCGCCCACGCACTGCTCCCCGGTGAACACGCGGGGCACCTGCAAGACAGCGACAGCAGCAGGGGAGGGGGGGTCACATTCCCCGCACGCCGGAAGAGAACCAGCGTCCCCACACTGCGCCCCGAGCCCCGCCCCTCGGTGACGTCCCGCGTAGACGTGGGCGTGTCTCTGATGGGTCGCCGGGACTACCGAGATATGGGCGTGTCTGTGGGAGGTCGCCAGGACTACCGAGATATGGGCGTGTCTCTGGGGGGTCGCCAGGACTACCGAGATATGGGCGTGTCTCT